TCTTAAACGAATGAATAAACTCACACACAAACATATATGATCTAACATTTTGACAAGAAATGCCTTGGAGACACAAAATAAAAGATAACCTATGTGTATGTATATGTTTGAATATTATTTTCAGTAACATGTTCCACCAAGTTTTACATCATACTAAACAGTTTTATTTCATATAAACAAATTATACTAATCAAAATAGTTTTTGCGGTAATGGTAACAATGACGCAGTCTATATAACTAATGATAAGAGAACAAAATTGAAATGAAGCACTGATAGTCTAGTGTTAAATGAACTAGTAATATTCATTAAAATAATGAATAAGACTTTTGAGAAAGGTAAATTTAGCACAATAAGTTTAGAATAATTGACAGGTTTGTGAAAAATGATCTGATTCGTAGACGAAAAATTCATCACATTTACGACACCACTGAGAACTAAGGAGTACTGGACAGTTGTTTCGTCTTAGTATTAGGTTTCTGAACAGTATGTTCACATTACTTCCTGAAGTATTGAATTCAGAGCTTTTTGGTCTCATAGCGGTCGCTTGACCATTAGAGTCATTGAGCAGATGTCTTGTAGTACAATTCTAATTCCAAATAATTCCCTCTAAAGTTCGATGACTATCCAATATAAACTGATGATAATTATTTTACTCCAGACATGTTTGAACTGCGTGCTCACAAATGAGCAGTTTCGTATTGATACTAAGTGTTTAATTAGTAGAGTAATTAAAAATTTATTTAGATTGATATCATGAATGGATCGATGTTAGACCACCATTGAAAATTTGAAAGCACTGAACGGCCGTTTCAATCTAGTACAAGGTTAAGCGTTCGTGCCTGAGACCGAAAGTCCTGGGTTCGAGTCCTACGTGCGGGTGCGTGGATGCGCACTGTCGGGGAGTTCCATACTAGGACTTAACGTCCGTCCAGTGCTTCCAGGTTTTCAATGGTGGTCTAACATTGATCCATTCATGATTTCAATATAAACTCAACAATTTCCGCAACTTCATACTGAGAAAAGTGTATTATTGATTCAAGTAGTAAAATATAGATGTAAACATAGTTAAAAAACACTAAACTTGACGAGAATTTCAGTCATAATATGCATGTATATGAATCAGTCTTTGCACTAATGTTATCTTAGTTGACGTACATAAAAACACAAGAGTAAACTAATAAAGTATGGGTAAACATAGGAAATCAGTACGTATTAAATTATCTTAAAAGTGAAATTTTTCACTACTATTTAAGTAAATAGTTCATTAGCGACTAGTTACGATATGGTATACTGGTAAGAGTTCATGGCAGATTCAACTCAATTATGTCAACGGTTAGGCATTTACTCAATAACTGCATCAGATGATTATGATGTAACTGAACAATTTCAAATTGTCAGTTTAGGGGTTGTGGAGATTGTTAAGTTTTTGATTGAAATCATGAGTCAATTGAAGCTAGACCACCATGAAAAACCTGGGAGCACTGAACGGCCGTTTCGTCCTAGTATGGGACTCCTCAGCAGTGCGCATCCATTTCAAATTGAATTTTTCATCACCTAATATTAACTGGGAAATTATTAAAAGTTTATAATAACTCTATAACTGTTTCATACTTCAGCTTAACTCAGTCATTGCCTCTAAACATAAAGTTGATGGTAAAACCCCTAAATCTCATTGACTCATTAACCCAGTATTTTTATTTTCAACTTCAGTCAACTTACAATTTAGAATACAACTCATCGAGCGCATATTCAAATACGTGACATTCATTTACACCCTATATGTGAGAGCTGGTGATACTGTAGTGAACAAGAACACAAATGGGGAGAATCGAATATATTTGATACGAAATTACAGAGCATCTCAATAAAATCTGAGAACCATATAGTAAATCGTTAATTTGCAAAATATCAATCCATCGTCTCAAACTTCACTGTTTCTTTGTAAATATCAATTCATTGTCTCAGATATCATTGTTCATGCCTTTTCATACCCATCGCGTTCCGTTTCCGTTCTCTCCTAATCGATCTTCTGCCAACATACATTCTATGCATGACCACCATTCTATAATACCTATATGGATATAAGTAACTTAAACCACAATACCATATGACTGCTCAAACTGAACTAGTTAGATTTAAACTCGAATCTGCAACCTGATAGTTAGAATTTCAATGCCTAAACCAATAAACTATTATTTCATCAATATATTAAATAGAGTAAAATTCGAATAATATCTTCATCAAATCATTGTCTTATCAGTTCTACATAATTTATGTATTCAGTAACTGTGAATTACCACTGTATATCTTACAAATATCTCGAATTCCATTAGAAATATCTTCTTGTCATTTATTAAGCCAATAAAATAAATACATAGAAAATATCAGAAGGGGTTTTGTGGAGATTTTAATAATTTCAGTTGTTGAAATCATGAATCAATTGAAACTAGACCATCATGGAAAACCTGGAAGCCGTCTAATGCTTCCAGCTTTCCCGTGATGGTCTAGCTTCAATTGATTCATGATTTCAACTATTGACATAGAAAATAGTAAAATTTTTATTTGTTTTAATTAACCAATATGGTTTATTTATTTGTTTACTTTTGTTTATTTCTTTCTTTGTATTAAATTTAAAATTTATTTTATATCCTTAAAATAAATTCAATTATAATTTTAATCAATGTTTTAATGAATATAATCACTCATGCTATCTATACAGAGTTGATTACTGGTGTTTATAACAATACTGAAGTCAGTTAACAAAATGTATGGTGAATTTTTCGAGGTCATTGTGGATAAACATTTAAAGTCTTGGAAACTTTTACCAGCAGTTATCTTATCAGATACTAACCATCCCCTACAATCATATAAATAGATTAAAATTCATGCACACAAGCAAAGTCATAAAATTTCTATAATACCTTACCTAGCAAATATAATCTATGACGAACAGGTTTTTAGAGTTAACTTAGTCAATAATCTGTATACTTAAACATATCACAATTGATTGATCACTGGGTGGTGATCAATGTCATGCTTCTCTAGTCCTTATTAGTGCAGATCGAATGCTATCGATCATGTTGCAATGTGGCCACCAGTCTAGGTGACTCGACGCTGCGGGTACTATGTATTGAGATTTAGATGGTGGTTGGAGGTAGTCAATAGGAAACCCTGGACCCGGGTTTCGTGCTACTTGGCACTCGTCAGTAAGGTGTACCTGTAATCTTGAGGGAACTGGTGCTCCCTGACGGATTCGATCTCGTGTCACCCAGCTTCACAGTCAGAGACGTTACCACTGAGCTATCCGAGCCGTGACTATACTCCTGTAGGACTGAGATGTAATCACAACATGTCTCTAATTTGAAAAGTTGTACAGAGTCAGAGCTTTTTTTCTTTTTTTCTTTCTTTTTTTTATATTTGTGAAACGAATTTGTTGAACTACTTTGTGCTGAGAATTCTATATTGTACCAAAATATAATAACATAATAAAGCCATTATGAACAATAATAATATTCCATCTCTTGTTGATTATTTTAAAGCATTAATTAGAAAAACAACAGAAAAAAATCAATTATTATTCATGTAATTGTAATAGTTAAGATAATAAGTCAATTGAAGCTAGGCCACCATGGAAAACCTTGAAACACTGAACGGCCGTTTCATCCTGTTGTGAACATTAACTCCATTGAAAGCCGGCTCTAATGGTTAGGCGCTAGAGCGCAAAACTGATAGGTCCTTAGTTCGAATCTCGCAAGGCGGGATCATAGATACACACTGCTGAGGAATCCCACAGTAGGACGAAACGTCAGTCCAGCACTTCCGAGTTTTCCATAGTGATTTATCCTCAATTGACTCATGATGTCAACTGTTGAAATTACTACAATCTACACAAAAACCTTTCTGATACTAATAGTGATGTAATAACTGAAAAATTACAAATCATTCCAATTCTAAAATTAACCTTGTATCTCAAATGTGAATAATGTTGAGAATAAACCTCAATATTCTAGCAAACTGTCATGAATGATAGAATGTACCCATGTTAAGAGTAATGATAATGTTTTCTACTATTATAAACCAATTATAGTTGCAACTTTGAACCAGTAAAAGCCAATTGAATAATTTAAATGACAATATGCTTACTAGGAGGCAAATAGATGATATAATTTATTGTTTATAAATGCTCTTGTTGAACACTTTTGAAAAGGAAATAACACTCATACAAAAATCTGTTCAATATTTTATGAATTTTTAATAATTGCTGCACAAATGTCAATAATTGATCTACACCAAATGACTTCCCTTAACCTATTTTTATTGATTAAATATTATGTGAAAATAGTTTGATCTTTGATTAAAAAAAAAGAAAACGCATACTTATGTATACTTGTAAAGAGTGTGAGGCCCTTAATTTTGTCGTCATGTGGATCGGACGTAGTTATCGAAAGGGCTCTCCACTTTAGTGGCCCGAGATCTGACTCCAACTTGATCGTATGAATGATTGCTGTCGAAATATAGACATTTCCTATCCTCTTATATTATCATCGACTTAAATCGCATTAGTCAATAACGGAGTTAAATAAGTCAAATAACGAGAATAGACTCATGAATATTTATATTTTGTATATGAAGTGAATGGAATAGAGAGAAGAGAAACGACTCGCAGTGGAGATGGCTGGTAAGCCACTAACTCCCATTTAGTCAAGAGTTAATCAATAGTTATAGTTACACAAAAGTAAGTTATAGACATGTGATGATGAGTAATGGGATAAGAAATGTACACAGACCTACACGCTCATATAAAAACAGTCAAGATTGATAAACGAGTAGTTAACAAGGTCAAAATGTGACTCAATTAGAATGAATAGAATAAGCTGTTCGAAAGCTAGAATAAGGTATATGAACTTAACGTAATAACAGACACTACAAGAAACTTGATTTCAAACTGTCAAGATTAATCTCTATGAGATGTATTCATGATACTTTTCTTCTTTTTTTTGTAATTCTATGACTTTTAACTTTCCTTCACAAAGTAAAACGTTTCTCATATCAAATGTCAAATGATAATTTATTGAATTACAGCTTTTATAATAAATCCCATTCTTTAACCATATTTAATTATCTTCAAAATAACCGATCAGTTATACAGATATTATGTCATTAGTGTTAATTGAATAATGTTTAGTACCGTATGATATACAATACCTAAATTGGAAAGATAAAACAACTGACAAAAATGGACACTCCTTATTATATAAATGGATAGTATTCTGTAAATATGCCATACTTCTTGATCATTTCTGTTCTTTTTTACAAATAAGCTGTTAGCAACTATTATTATCACAAGAAACTCATTATTATTTCTTATCAACTGTGTTAATGGAAAGCTGAGAACAGTCAAAAAGAGATAAGTTTATTTCCTAGACTCAGTCTTTTTAAAATAACAAAACTATAATTTCTTAAGATATTTAAATAAGTCCATCAAAGTCTGCCACTGTTTTTTATCCATCAAGTTATTCATGCTTTTCTTTACTTAACAAATACTTAAAAGTTCAAATATTAATCTGTCATTTAGCTTACTGGTCACTATAAAGACTTTAGAGACTATCTGTAGAGAAGATAGACTGTTTCTCAAAATATTTCTCTCATCGTTTCAGTCGTTAGTTTAAGAATGAATCAATTTTCTGCTTTTCACTTGAAAGGTACGTTAATAGTTGACTTTAACTCTGGTTCCATCAAGTATTGTAAAAAGTTATCTAGTTTTATTTATCACTGTTTCAATCTTTTTTTACTTTTCTTCAATCTCTATTTTGTGTAGAGTTTGATGGTCAACATCTATTTATTTATTAAAAGCTCACAAAAGTGATTGAAACTTCCTACTTCTCCTCAACTATCGCTATATTTTAACTCTTTATGACATCTCACAGATTATTATTGACTGAAATCTCATCTAAATTATCTATTTTACTTTGTTATCATTGTTATATCTACATCTCCCAGACTATCATGAGTTGTTAACGGGTCTCTAGATATTATGAAGAAGTATCGTTCTGCCATACATTATTAAATCTTGCTATTCAGTCTAAGTTTTCCAGAGATGAACTCTTCGATAAGTAGTTTTAAGTGGATTTTTAGAGAATAATTGGATAAAATTTTGTAAACATTAATCACTGAAACTGGTTTCCGATTATGGCAAACATGGAGCTTCATAGAAGGGTTAGTTAAAAAACGAATAATGAGAATAACAGTTAATAAGAGGTGTGTGGAAAGTTGACAATTGTTAACTACTTATCAAGTAATGAAACAAATATAAAAATTCACGTCTAATTTTATCAATTACAGTTAATATTCTCTACCTTATACAAAATATATGATCAGCATGTAACAAGAGGCAGCAGCAGCACCAAGAAAGTGACTTTTGGATTTTTGTCACATTGACTATCGGAACTCAGTAAGTTGGTGAATAATGTTTTCGTGTCTAAAGTGATATGTACTAATTCCAAGCTCTAAAGTGAACTTAAACGTTGGGATTAAGATATATCCATCCGAAAAGTCCCAAATAGGACTAATCCAACGTCCTGAGTTCCGTAGTTAGCTGCGATCTACCTTTTTAAAAAGCTTGTGACTAAATGGTAGTATCATAGTAAATTGCTCAGGCTGACTATTTATGCTAATAGGAAATGAACACTAAATCCTTAACATCAATAATGGAAAAATACAAACACTTACAAATAACATTCTATAGTTTATGGAAGGTAGTCTATGAAATATCAATAACTTTAAAAATGGCTTGTCTCGAGTATTCTATGATTGGAAAATAGTACTTATGTAAAATCACTGAAAAATGTCATAGATCTAAATCGATTTGAAATGCATTGGATTGTTCCGTTGCTGATATTTTTGGACTGAAATTTGATCAGTCTTGGTTGGATTATAGGCATCACATGTGGACTGCTTCGATATAGTGAAGTAATTTAATACATAATAGATGGAATGTAGCTTGAAATGGGATGCGATACGTGTGTTTCGTCCAATTTTAAACCCGTCAGCTTGCTTTTCATGCACTTGTCATAAAAGTAGGCAGCTAGTTTAACACGGTAACTAAGTGAATAACGTGATGGCGCTTAAGAAGAACTGTTTCGGGTTAGAGTCCTGGAGTGAAAGTCTACTTTGTTATGATGGAACATGTAATTAAGGAGTCCCAGATAGGACAAAACATTCCATTTATCCTATCATAGACCTAAGTTTCAACCTCATCATTCAACTCTAATCACATTTAGTTGGTGATTTCAAATAAATTCGAGTAGAAGTTCAAGTAGAAAAATTCCTACTAGTCTTATTTTTCCGTTGATTGCCCCTGAGGTTATCTCATTTATCTAGTCATAATAAACATTGAACCTGTCATAAAAGTAATTTTAACCAAACTTGTCATATCTCTATAATACAACTAATATGCTACAAAAGTTATCGAATGTGACATTAGGAAACATTGAACGCTGACGATACACTACAACAAAACAAAATAAACGTTATGTATGAAATAATACTGGAATTCAAGATCAGAAAAATGACAAAGAGTGAGCACATTTCTTTTCATAAACCATGTCACCCAAAGGCTTTAACAACAAATTATGGTTGCAGCACAAACTTCAACCAAATAGTTTGTATCTACTAGTATAGCTTAGACCAGTATTCAATGTCTTAAAACATTTCAAAACATTTTCAACTTTCATTAATCTTTTCTAAGATTCAATACAGGAGCTTTACAAAGAAGAACTGACCTAAACTACTGAATTTACTTATGCTAACAACAAAAATAAACAGAATTTGTAACCATTTTTATTATATATATTTCGTAGTCTTTATTGTAAAACAATCTATGAATAATTGAAATGAGTTAAATCATTAATAATCATTGCCCAACATTAATATCTAGCTAATAATTACATATTATATATGTATGATAACCCCGCCAGGAGTCCCTCCGGGAGCTACTGCCGGTCCCAAGCCCAGATAAAGGAGGAGGGTTGGGCATCGGGTTAGCGACCCCATCCCGTAGAAAACTAACTCACTAAAAAAACGCTAACCAGAAAAAACTATTCAAACCATTTAAACTCTGCCCTGGGAATCAGAAGGCCTTCATTTAGAAAAACTATGGCGCCTCATGATGAAAGACGAATTCCTTCAGAAGTTACGAGGTCGATGCCCCTTCTGACAATCAGAGCAATCATTTATTTAGGTACATGGAATACTCGTACAATGTGGGAGACCGCGAGAGTCTTCCAAATTGCTGCATATATGTATAATGTTTTCATATATTACACCATACTTTCTCGAGCACTGCACATTTTATTGATTTTTTTTCTTATAAGCGTCATTCCATAAAATGTTTACCGCTGTAAAATTACAAAGTACATATTAAAATACTCTTTTTTTTAAAAGTAACTCAATCGATATGTTTGCAAGAAGTCACGTTTATGAGTCACAATTCAGTTGAGTTTTATTTCATTATAAAACTATAAAAATTGTGTTAATGATTTCACATCACACAAACTGTTATCATTTACAATGTTGATAGTTTGTAGTGATAATAGTAGTGGTAGTATGTTGCCAAAAAATTATTATTTTAGATTGTTAAAACAAGTAAATAGTACTAACTAAAAATAAATTAATAATAAATTGCTCATTTATTAATCCTTTACTCAGTATTGTCATATTCTCAATCGAAACAATTCCCTTCATTTTAAAACTGAAATTTGATTTTAAGGAGTGGAGATAAACTCCATTGACCTTGCACCTGGCAACTAACCAAAATGAAGGGGGACTTATTATTTATGCAGTCATATTTTATGATAGAGATGTTTCATTCTCTGTCCTTTGTGCTGGCTTATATGAACAATGTAAAGTTGCCTACGAAAAAACTACCACTCCATCATGCTATGAAACTTGTCAAGTGTGGAACATTCAAGTTATGATGGAAGAAAAATTACAATATAGCACATGTCATACTTTTAATTAATTCTATAATGATAATTATTATTCCAAAATATCTATAATTAGCTGACTAAATAGATGAAAACACACCTGTAATTACTAATTACGATACACTTAGATGACTTGAGAATGTGGAGTTTATCCCAAACTGATTTGTATAAGATGTTTCAAATGAATATTACACTCTAGTGAAACTGTTCATCCAATCACCGTTAAGAAAACAAACAAAAATGATGTCAATAAAGGTGAAATTTTGTAATGTTCAATATAGTTGATATGATCTTATATTTACCTAATTTCCCCTTCATTGTATATTGTGATTAAAGTAACCATAATTTAAACGGAGAAAAAAAATGTTTTGTTTTTTAAAAAGTTTTACTTACTCTATACTACTAGAAGGTGAACTTAAATCCCCAATTGTTGTTAAAGTTAATGTAGCCCAATAAAATGATTTTAAATATCTTCTTGACATTGTTACTTGTTCTGCATCAGTATATGGTTGATAACCCCATGGATTTTTAAATCCTTCATATTTTGATATTAAATAATAAAATGCAGCAAACCAATGACAACCTAAGAATAATATATGAATTAAATTTAATACTCTCCATAAATTAGGAAATATAGTTCTATTTTCCACACGTATTTTCCATTCATGAAAACGATACCATTTGAAAAATCTTGGAAAACGTAACATTGGTTGTATCCCAATTTTAAATTGTATTAAATCTAATGGAAATAATGATAATAAATCTAATAGAAATTTATAAGATTTCATATAACGCATAATTAATTTTTGATGATCTTTTACTTTAAGACCACATTTTAAATAACTTGTATTACATTGTACAAATATATCAATTAAATATATAAGATCAGCTAGAATATCAAATGATAACCAAATAATTTGATATTTGGATTGTAATTCATCAAATGCTTGACGTGCTATTGGAGTCCATAAATTATATAATAATGCTAAAGATACAATTGTTAACCATATTATATAACCAGTATTATTTGGATAAAATACAATGAATAAATGAGATTTTTTATAATTTTTAAAAATTTTTTTATTTTTTCCAGATTCTTTATCTAATTCAAAATATTTATCATTTTTATTTATTTCATTACTTAATTTCTTTTTAAAGGAATAATCATTAGTATTACTATTATCATTATTATTAGTAGTAGTAATAGTAGTAGTAGTAGTAGTATTATTATTATTATTGTTTGTTGGAGTTGGTGTATCTAAGTAGAACATTTCATCTTTTGGTATTGAATTTAATTGATTTTCCAATAATAATTCTTTTTCTGGAATAATTGTTGTTGTCAAGCTTTCTGAATTATTATTATTATTATTATCATTATTGTTAGTTATTTGTTCATTTGAATCAACTTGATAACATGATGATTTTCTTTCATTATTAACATTATTATCATTATCATTATTATCAATTTCTGGAATACAATCATAATGATCTAATTTTTGTTGTGAATATAATTGATCTATAAATGAATGATCATAATTTGTATCAGAATAATATTCATCATTACTATATGTTCCACGTCTTTGTGTAGAGAAACGATACATAAATGAATCTCTTCTAGATGTATCATTATTATTATATAATTTACGTTTAAATTTTACATGATCCATTGAACTTAGTACAACTTTCATTGTACATTGTAATTTTTTCCAATGACGTGATGCATTATTATTATTTAATGAAGACTTATGTGATTCATTTTGTGTATGATCATAGAATTTATTTAATTTTGTAATAGATGATTTAGTCATTTTATCTAATTTAGATAATGATATATCATCATTTGAATGAATATTAAGAAATTGTTTCGATGATAATTGACATTGATCTAATATATTTTTATGTATTTGATTCATTTGAGATGATGATAAAGTTTTATTATCATATGTATTATTATAATCCAATGAAATAGTTTCATTGTCCGATATTGATTTTTGTGATAAATGATCATGTGAATAATCAATATTTGATAATGAATTTGGTTTAGATAATTGATTATTTTCACTTGTCATTATTGATTATATCATTTATTGATTGAATAAAAATACATATTTATTTTTTTCTATATTTTCAATTGATTTAATGAATGAATGAATTGTGTTTAGAAGAAGAAAAAACAAAAGAAAGAGAAGTTTATTTCATACATTTTGACAGGTGATAATATTGAATTTTTACCGTAACAATTTCCTCATTCATGATTGGTTGATAAATTCATGAGATGTGATTGGTCAATTTTGTTTCTCTAAATTATAACCAAGATATGATATAATAATGATTTTATATGTAAAATGGATAAATCTCATTTTTTTAAAACACAAAAAGATATATTTAAGTCAAATGAATGAATCAAAAAAAGATTATGTAAATGTTTATTTCACAGATTGAAATCATGAGTCAATTGAAGCTAGACCATCATGAAAAATATGGAAGCACTGGACGGCCGTTTCGTTCTAGTATGGGACTCCTAAGCACTGCGCATCCATTCGTGGATTGGTTGAAGTTAGACATTAACACCGTTGGATAACGGCTTAGTGGTCTAGTTGGTTAAGCGCTTGACGCGAGACTGATAGGTCCTAATTTCGAATCTCGCGGGGTGCTGGACCGTGGATGCGCACTGCTGAGGAGTCCCATACTAGGGCGAAACGGCCTTCCAGTGCTTCCAGGTTTTCCCTAGTGGTCTAGCTTCACTCGACTCACGATTTCAACCTGTGAAATTTCTAAGATCTCCACAAACCCCTTCTGATAAATGTTTATCATAATGTTGTAGGAAAATATTCTTTTCACTTGAAATGATCATGAAGTTCAGTGAATTCAAAGACTCATCGAAGTTAAACAACCATAGAAAAATAGAAAACATTAGATGACCATTTTATTTTGTGATAAAACTCTTCAGCAATAAGCAGCTATCACTTTAATTGTGAGAATCAAACCTGAGATTTATGATCTGGTTTCGAATGCTTAATTTCTAAACCATTGAATGAGGATTTAGAGGTTAAATATTCAACAACGGGAGAGAAAATCATAAGTTTGATTTTTGTGTGTGGAGTCATGAATGTGCATTTCTGAGTCTCATACTAGGATGATATGGTTCTCTAGTGCTTCAAGTTTTTCATGGATTGTCTTAATTCGATCGTAATTCGAAATTCAACAACCATTATAACGCTAGACTGACTATAATTAAATCACCCCAAAAATATCCAGTCACATTACCAGCGTAGGATATGATGACATTTTATGTACAACTATAAGTCAAGGTGGTTTCACTTTTAAATCCTGAGCAATACATTTTATTCACTGATATAAATGTTTCAGTTTTCTGACTAGAAATGTTTGGTAACCACGTGTACTTATTCGCCTTAAAAAATTGTTTACAATATACCGTAAATTTAATCACTTGAAACTTCGAAAAATATCAAATATAATGGATATCAGGTTTTCTTTTCCTCAGTATTTTTTTGGCAAAACAAAAGGAGTGTAATATATCGAATTCATAAATCAAGTATATTATGCATTGAAGAGAGATGTACTGAAAACAAAGCTGATCATTTTCATTTACTGATAAATGTAAATGGTAGCTAATTACTGTTTAGAAAAATTTTATGGATAGTTTTTCTTCTGTACTCACAATTTAAATAGCTGTGAAATGAGAATATGTTGAAATATCGAGTATACTGTAATGTAAACTACTAACATTAAACATGTGTTGATGAATGAAGTGATTGTGATCATGATTGTCCCCATTAATTTTCAAGCCAAAGTTTACAGATTTTACTCAATATAATCTAAATAGAAATTCCTCAATGTATATTTTACTTCATTCTTTAGATTGATAACACCAGATGAACAGATTGAACTAACAAGATTGATTAAACATGGTCAAAATGTGGTTATTTTCAGAAACACAGGATTTGGAAATAAAAACGTTCATTTGAGGAATAAAATGAAATGATTATATGTAATTTTTACTTACTGACAAAAATTCAGCACGCAATAAAATCCAAGAAGCACTAGACAGGTACTTCATCCTGGTATGTGACTCATCATCATTGTTCATCCATGATACCACCTTAAAATCACTCAGAAGTCGCTAAAATTTCAGACCTCTAGGTTGGTATTTAATTTTCTAGCTTTAGTCAATTTGGAGCATTTCTAAAACATGATCCTCTGCAATCCATTCGAATGCCTATGAGGTCGTGGATACTTTCTGTCGAGGTGTATCGGAATGAAATAACTGTCCAATCCTCCAGTTCTTAAAATAGTTCTCTAACTAAGTTTAGCCGACGATATAAACCACAAAATCCAGTTGTCCCAACAATCTTCAATACAAATAATCACATATATTCATTTTTATTAAAATCCCTCTAGCTTGTGACTAACTGACACTAAGCACATTCGATAACCCACAAATATATAATTTCATGGAGAAACAAAAAAGATTCAACCTAAGTAATTTTCACAACCACTCTAAGGAGGGAAGAAGTGAAACTAAAGACAATAAAACGTCAGAAATTATATGCGTAGAGCGTTAAAAGATAGTATGTCGAAAGTGCTTTATCTCAGCCTGGAAATGGTCGTTATTTACCAGTAATATTTGAGATAATGACATGACTTAAAATTTTTCTGAAAATATCCTTTGCTTCAAGATTGCAGGTGCGATATGTGCTGCTTACGTCGACATAAATAGTATATAATGTCAATCAGAAATTGAATAGCTGACAACAGAAGGTTGAGAAGATCGAATAGAAGAGAACGGGAACAGAGAGTAATTGGTGTGGAAATAAAGAAACAATAAAGTTTGAGACAATTAATGGACATTTTGCAAATGAAGGATTAGACATATGATTTTGACATTTTATTAAATAACTCTGTAATATTTTTCTACATCTAAATAAATTAGTTGTCTCCACCTGTGTCTTCGTTAATTACACAAATACATCTTACATGACAAGTATAAAATAACACAAAACCAAAGTTCATAAATTTCCATAACCATCAAATAGCACATGAGAGATTATATACGACATACGATATTGAGAGAAGCCAATTATACTCCTAATCGAGATCTCAGTCTACATGTCCTTGTTCGAGTCAGAAAGACAAACCTATATCACACCAAGGATTTATATGTTTATTATTTCAGTGGTCAATCAAAGTTTCCTTGCCATCATCAGCTTTCTGATTCGTTTAACTGGTTGAAGATTTGGAAGGAGGAGCAAGTGCCGAAGGACTGGAAAAAAGGACACCTCGTCAAAATACCAAAGAAAGGAGATTTGAGAAAATGTGGTAACTAAAGAGGCATAACTACAGAAGAGTTCCTGAGAAGATTGTTAACATTATCCGAAACTCATAGGATAGACTACAGAGCAAAGTAGTGCATGGAGGACAGCTGACAGATGCATTCCAAGTGAGGATCAAAGTCAGACAAGGCTATTTACTCTCCTCCTTTCTCTTTCTTCTGGATTATGAAGATCTCCACATCTGAGATGAAGCACGGAACACAATGGACAGGTTGAATGCATCTGGACGATTTGGATTTCTCAGATGACATATCCCTTCTATTCGATACGCACGAACAAATGCAAATGAAGACAACTAGTGTAGCAACAGCTTCTGCATCAGTAGGCCTCAACATACACAAGGGAAAAAGCAAAATCCACAAATACAGAACGGATAACATCAACCAAGTCACACTTGCTGGAGAAACTCTGGAAGACGTGGCATCCTTCACGTACCTGTGAAGCATCGTTGATGAATAAGGGGGATCAGATGAAGACGTAAAAGCGAGGATTAGTAAAGCAAGAGCAGCACTCCTACAGTTAAAGAACATATGGAACTCAAAACAACTTTCAACCAATATCAAAGTCACAATATTCAATACGAACGTCAAGTCAGTTCTACTGTACGGAGATGAAACTTGTAGAACTATTACAACCATCATCAAGAAGGTACAAGTAATTATAAATTGTTGTCTGCGCAAGATACTCAACATCCATTGACCGGATACCATCAGCAGCAGCCTACTATTGTAGAGAACAAACCAGTTTCCGGATGAAGAGGGACTTAGGAAAAGAAGATGCTAATGGAAAAGACATACACTGCGCAAATCATCAAACTGGATCACGAGGCAAGCCCTAACCTGAAAACTTGAAAGGAAGCGGAAAAGAGGAAGGCCGAAGAACAAACTGTCAGGAATTGGAAGTAGGTATGAAAAGTATGAATAACAACTAGAAAGAGCTGGAAAGGATTGCTTGGGACAGGGTTGGATGGAGAGTGCTGATGAGCGGCCCATGCTCCTCCACGAGGAGTAACAGGCGTAATTAAGTAAGTAGAATGTATATCTTAATAAGACTTCATAGAATGCAAGGCTATTCAACCATAAAATCATTGGAACATCATTAAAACGTTTTAAAACACTTAATTGACCCATAATCTGAACGAAAGAGGTATGGTTTACAAGAGACAGTTTACAAAATAACGTCTGGAGAACGGCACACCGTCATCGATCACAATGAATTATCATATTGTAGGTTCGTCAACAATAATCAGCATAACACTGATTATTTTACAATGATAATTAATGCATATAATGTATCGCTTGAATATTTATGCACAATTTTGTTAACCTCAATGATGCGATTAATATCCTTAATAGAATAATATTCTGACTAGATAAGAAAATTAATCTTTTGATGCTGTAAATAGTTTCACACCAAATAAAATTTCGAAATTAATTCAACGGTGAGACTGATTTATGGACGACCTTTGAGCGACTGTAAACTGACCTTGAGAGTGTCCACTTACTAATGCTAAATGAAGGATTTAAAGCAGTTTGAAGAATGAGGACTACAATTTACAGTTGATAGTCACGGTTAGAAATTAGATTTTGGACTTTCATCACGAACTGACATCAGCTATAATGTCAAGACTCTAATTAACCAAATATGTGAATGAATTTCGCGCCGAAATCCAAAACATGTTATCGTAAATCTGATTGGTTCGTCCATAGATTATAGTCTCGCCAATTCAACTGTTGATCAACTGGATCATGAAGACGTCAACATCTGAAGGAAAACACGGGATACAGTGGACATCTATGATGCAGCTGGACGATCTAGACTTCGCAGATGATCTG